AAATCTTATTAAAATTAAACTGTGAACCTTTTATGCCCACCTTTAGAGCCTATAAAACCTATATATACACATTTATTAATAAACCTAATTCTAAACCCTACCCTTAATACTAAAAAGAACCTAAAAAATATCTCTCAAAAAATTTTTAATTTTCTTTAAAAAACAGAAAAATTTCAGTTTGATTAGATTTCATTTTAATCTGTGATAATAAATACTACTTTTATACTATTTATATATATATATATTCTTTATATATATGATTATATAATTTTAGAGTGTGGTAACTTAGTGAAGTTGGTAAGTTGTTGCACCCTTAAGCAGTAGAACAAGAGTTTAAGTCCTACTAGTGATGAAATTCAAATTTGTGGAAATGTGCTATAGCAGACTATATAACATATTGATTAGATCAGCACCTATAATCTTAGTCTTACCAACTTATATTAAGAGGTTGTAAAACATAGTATAATGTATGAGTTATACAAATCTTAGATGAAATATTTAAATAAATCTAAGGGATCAGGGGATATAAAAACCTGCTTGAGAAGTTCTGAATAGAGAGATAATACAGATTTTTGACAGCACTATATAAATAATTATTATCTGGAGAACTAGACACCAAAGGCAAACTGAACAAGAACTGAGTATTTGGCAAATATTATACTAATCAGGCTGCTAGATAACCAGAAGAAAAAGTATTTATTCAAAATACTAGAAGATGTCTACTAGTTCTTCTCTAGCCATCTGGATTAAAAATTTGAGGCACTAACAGTTGACATCGAAGTACTGTTGATAGTCTATAAAGTGGATACTGGGTTTTGGGTAAACTTTGTAAGGACAAGAAGTAGATAATAGTAGCGAAGATAAAAGCACAAGTACTTGGTTATGGCCTAGATATAAGTTACCAAAATCTAGATAATACATGTGTGGGATATGAACCGCTCTAGTAGGTTTATCATGAGGATAAAAAACTCCTTTATATAGTAATGTATATCCACTTTAAAGTCCTATGGGGTTTTCATAACAATTTCTCTTCAGGAGAATATCTAATAACACTAAGTTAATTAGAGTAATAATACTTTCATTAATATAATAAAGTTGGGATGCTTATATAGTAGTTACTCTGGCATTCAAACCATAAGTTAATAAAATATGTCAGACCCCTAAGTGGTCACCTTAATATTAAAAAAAAAAAATTATATAATTTTTTCATATTTATAATTGGTTAATAACAACAATTAAAAAATTTTTGAATTGTTACTAATAAAATTGTGGTTATCCATTAGGTAAAATATGTTCTAGACTAATTTTATTATTGCACAGGTCCAAACTTTAAATTTTCTTCTATTTTTACAATAGTGTTGATTATTATTGCAAGGTCAATAATATGATGAATAGTGACTTGTATTAGAAAATATCTTGTAAAAATTTGATGTAAATAATTAGAAAACAAAATTTTGATATTAGAGAGATTATTTTTTAATAAGATGAAGCAATTTTTATACAGCAACTTTGACAGAACATTGGTTTAAAATAAATAAGATGAAATTCTTTAATTGAACTCTAATCCTCCAACCTTAATTCAATTGAAAACCTGTATGATGAAGTTAACTGTTGTTTTAAAAATCTCTTTGATTAAATTTTAAACAAAATGGATCTTTAAAAAAAGATTCAGGTGGTCTGACAAGTAATTGATATTAAAACTTGCAGAAGACTAATTTGTTCAATACTAAAATAAATTTATACTGTAATTAGAGCTTAAGATAATTATATCTAGTATTGTATATAGGACAGTTAAAATATAAGTTAGAATATTTTGAGACATTTTGAAACAATTTTATAAATTAAAATTACTCAAAATTTTATTAAAATAATTTACAGTAAAATGTACAACATAAGGTGAAGAATTTTTAGATAGAAAAAAAATTTTTTTTTATATAAAAAAAAAATTTGGTTTATAGTTGTGTTGCTGTAAAAATAGTATTTAAATAAAGCTCATGCCTATAGATGCTGGTGAAACTGGTAAAACTCTTGGTGGATGGTGGTGAAACTGGTGAAACTGGTGAAATTTAATATAATAGCCAATCAGATTTTAGATAGTCACCAGTTTCACCAACGTTATTTAGTTTCACCAGCATCTATCCTCATGCCCATGAAAAATTTTGTTTATTAAATTTTTAATTTTTTATTGATGAAAATGTTGTTATTAGTGAATAAAATAAAAAAAAAACTAACCGATACACCCAGAATTGCATGATAAGACTTTGCTGGTAAAAATTTCATTATTGATATAGTTACTTTTGTACATATAAATTTTTTTTATTCGTGACAACTTAAAGTTTAGACCTTTGATTAACCAATAAAATGTTTTCTACTGTATATCAAAAAATTGGCCAATCGCAATGAAAGCCCACTATGCTCTACACAGGACGTTATTCCGATATATAAAACAGGATTAATCGGATACGTATAATTTTTACTTCGTAATAACTGCAAAATAACAGATTTCGAGATATCGAATAAACGGTCCAATCTCTAATTACATTTGTTTTCATAAATTCTGGGGACAACTAAAAAAATTGCCGATAAGCGAATTGATAAGTTTCTGATATCTCTATAATCACACCCTTGGTTTTAAAAATTTGGAGTTTATAGAGTTTGTGCTTATATAGATGTTAAATTTTATTTTAGGGAATTTACAGATAGTACAAACACGGGCCCAATTAAAAATAATTACATTTAATTTTTAAAAAATATTACATATAAGGGCCCAAGCTTGTGGTTTGATCGTTATTAGCATAAGAAATGTAAGCATCGATAAGTGTAGGTAAGTGTAGTTATTAAGAGCATAAAAAATATAACGATCAATTGTAAATTAATAATTATAAATGGAAAAGAAAATTTTGAATTTAATAAATTTCATTTCTTCGCCTTATAAATAATTGTCGCTATTTTTTATACAATATTTAAACGAAAATGATTATAACAGTGCTTTATTTATCCTTTTATCTAATAATTGGTATATAGATAACTCTAAATGCATATAATAAAACAATCGATAATCCTATAATCGCGATTTTGCAATCGTTAGTCATACTTTGTGGCGCGGTAATCCTGTGATCACGTTTTTTCAAAATTTCACTTTCTGGGCCCTTATTTGTAAATTCACCTAAATTATATGTGTTATATCAGTTGGTTTTAAATGTGTCTACAGAGGAGGTGACTATAGAGTATTGGCGTAATTTATTAATTCCATCGATTTGATTAAAACAGTTATAAAAAAATTTTTCCTAATAGTCAAAAAATTTTCCGGTCTGTACGTAATCATATGTGTAAATATTTGGATTTAAAAAATTCCGTGACCTTGCCTATGTTACCATAATTCATTGAATAAATGAATAAATGATATGCTTAACATAGTATAGAAATTGTTGAAGTCAAAATGATTTTTACAATTAGTTCTATAATTAGTTCTAATAATAACAATGAATATTAGAATATGTAATTAAAATATAGCAACAAAGAATTGATCTAAAATGTACTTTTCACAATAAGGTATATGCATTTTTGGTTTTTCTTTTATTAAAAAAAATTTTTTTTTTAAAAAAATAAATAAATAAAATAAAATAAAATCATGTCTTCTTTCTTTGTGGTGCATTTTCGAATCAAAGAGAGACTTCTAAATTTGACAATAATACAGGTTACCCCGTTAATACGTACTGTACGTATCAACCTCGTTAATATCAACCTAAGCCACAAACCAAATTGTTATAAATTTTTATATATTCCCTCATATACAGTATATCAACTTTAATGTTAATATCACTATCAACATGATTTAAAACAATTCAAATAGGTTGATATTAACGAGGGTAACCTGTACCTTTATGTTGCCATATTAATATCACATGATTGTCACGGCGTAATATAGCAAATGTTAAAAAACAAATATATTATGTAATTTATAATAGATGTGATCTTAAAAAAAAAACAAATAGCATTATAATTGACAGAGTATTGTTACATTACCCGATCCATGTATTCCCTCGTGCCTTAAACTTTATCACACAATAAATGAAACAAAGTAAATAGGAATGCATGTACTCAGATAACACGGAGTTAGTTGGCGCGAATTTTAAGCTTTTAAAATGGCATATGTTTGGCATGTATCACACACAGGAATTTTTGATATAAGTACACAAGTGCAACAAGTGTAACAAAACGTGAAGTTTAAAACTAGCAACAAATGAAAGTTAATTTTTTAATATATGACGTGAATAGACAAAGAACTTTAATGGCTTTCTTGTTGGAGAAGCTTCTATGCCAATTATTATCTTTGGTGTAATGCGACACAAAGGTTTTGGTGATACTAAGAAGATTCTACCACACATTAACGAGTTGCCGGGTTTTCTTTCATTATTTGTTTAAGCACTTCATTTTCAATCATAGATGTTACCCGTTTCTATGGTAACAGTGATACCATCACAATGGCAAAAAAAAAAAATTAAAAAAAAAATATATATAAGTATATGAATGGTCTACACAAGTTTACTTTCTGACCAGCCATCAATATTTTCCGTAAAGCTCAATATTTCCGTCCAAATTTTATTCAAAGATTCACAATATTTATTTATCTACATAACAGTGGTTCTTTTGATCTTCGATAGGCACGAGAAATATTGAAAATATTGTATTCAAAATCTTACTTTAAATACCCGAGTTTTAAATACCCAAGTTTTCAATACACTCAACACACTCATTCATATATTGTATCTTCGTTATAAGCAAGTTTATTTGTGGCTTTTTAGTTAGATTTGTAAACAAAAATAGATCTCTAATAAATATAAACTTGTATATAACGATCTTAGAGGACTTAAAACGAAAAAAGTAACGTCACTTGCATTATATAAATTAAGTTAACTTCTAGAAGCCGTAGTTAATTTCACTTGAGTCTCGCTGGTCGCTCGACACTTGAAATTATCACGGCCCTCTTAATAGTCAAGATGTCGAGCCAGGATTTTAAAATTACTTGCGCAGAGCCTTTTAGTAATACAGATACACTTGTAGGGTCATTTGATGAAAAAACCGAAATATGCACTCGTGAAGAAACTAAAATATGCTCTCATGAAGTTACCGCACAAAACGGTCGAATGATCCGTAAAGGCCGTTATCTTCCCTATGTGAGTTACTGAACGTTATATCATGTGAAATTAGTTTAAACATATGATTAACAAATATCAATCTTCAGGAAGACAAACGGTTAGTACGTTATTATAAAGAACTCAAAGACAAACATAAGAATAATGTCTTCGCGGTGATCGAAACGTATATGAATAGAAGTGCTAAATCTCTGCGTGAACGATATTGTAACCATCTTGATGAAAATAGTTAGTATTCAACACCATCATCACGTGACTCTGGCGTATTTCTCCAATAATCATACTAATACATAACGATTAATTTAATTTCACAAAAGTTGACAATTCAGAATTAACACATGATGAGAAGACTCGTATTTATGAAATTTATCATAAGCTTGGCCGTCGCCCAGTCCACGCCGAAATAGCGCGTAGGTTAAGCGAAGGACGCAAGGATGGTAAGCGCAGAACAGATCTCATTGTTCGGAATTTTTTGTCACCAAAGTTAAAAAAGAATAAAGAAAGTAGTATCCGTATTAAAACCGTAATGGCAGTGGATGCTTTAATAAATGAGGTTGAAAGTGGCTCGGTTAATTTAATAAACAAAAATGATATGAGCCCGGTTGATTTAACAAGTGAAGGCAAAATGGACATGAATAATTTAATCAATCAATAAGCTGAATGGTCCTTGGTTTAGTTAATGAAGTATATACTAATACGATCACTTTCCCGATCAAGATATCCCAAGTTGTATTATAAATACTGAATTATTTCGGATTTTTAACTATTTCACACATCGTTTTTGTACATATATATATATATTTTCTATTAATGTGATTCTTATTTTGTATGTTATATATATTTTATTTTTTCATTTTGTTTTATTTTAGTTGTTTTTGTATAATAATATTACACGTCCTAAATTTTATTAAACACGAAGATCTTTTATCGTGTTTTTTGTTTGACCTAAATTTTTTTTTTATAACGTTCTTGTTTTCTTTTCTTTTTTCTTTTGTTTTCTTTTCTTTTTTCTTTTGTTTTCTTGTCTTTTTTCTTTTTGCCTTTTTTTTCTTTTTTTTTTTTTCTTTTTTTTCTTTTTTCCCTTTTTTTCTTTTTTTTTCTTTTTTTTCCCTTTTTTTTTTTTTTTTTTTTTTTTTTTTTTTTTTTTTTTTTTTTTTTTTTTTTTTTTTTTTTTTTTTTTTTTTTT